ACGGTATTACGGTGAGGTAACTTTAGTGAAGAATACAATTTATATATAACTGTAGTAGTTTGATATTTGTAGTAAATAACTGCACAGATAAATTTCCAATTTTCGTAGTATTGCGTGGTAATTAGGTATTTGTTATTAAGTATACTGTACGAAAAACATATAGTAAGCACATTTAGTAAAGAAAACAATTTGTAATTAGGTGGAGCAAGATCGCCTGTTTGAGCGTAGTCCTGAATAGGACTGTTGTTTATAGTGACTGACGTTTTGAAAACCTGATGTGTTCAGTAGTCATCTTCAGAGTCAATGAAAGGACTACGTTCACCCGGATGGTCGTGCTTCATCTTCTTATGAGATGATATCAATCACCAATCATCTTTTGTGGTAATTAGGTATTTAGGTAATTAGGCATCATTGTCGTTCATCTCCGCTGGGTGAGGTGCGAATTCTTCGTAGAACTGCCTTCGTGCTCATTTTTTAGTCATAAACAAAGGTGCTGGACAGTTCTATCTGAGCTCTGATACGAGGTAGCGTCCAATCTCAATACCTTTTTCCTGAGTTGAAAGCAACGAACAGCAGTAAAAGTCGTCGAAAATGCATTGCAATAAATCAAAATGTATGCAGCAGGAGTTTGAGCCAAAACTGCCGAGGGATATTTTAAATATGTCGAGGAACATGTCATTCTACGTCAGAATAAGGTTTGGAGCAATTTATAGTGCTTCTGAAACTAAAAAGTACCTTTTAAAGAATTGCACGATAGGCAATCGGCTTTCGTTTTAACAATTAGCAAACATTGAATTTACTTGTCCCGAAAATTCAAACTGGTGTCGCCTTCTACCTGATAGTTAAGAATTTCATCGTAAAAAAAGTTACCTATTTGTCGTCTTTGTAAAGGACTTGTTTTTTATGACATTAACTATGCCCCTTAATAACTTTCGTTTGAAGTTTTCATATATATTTTTTTTCAAGTCATGAGAAATATGACTGCCGCAGCTGGGACGAATGGCCGATCCTTGAGAGTTTTTGTGAAAAGTAAATAAATATCGATCTTGTGAAAATTTAAAATCACATTTCTGCCAATAAAGTTTGTGTACTTAAAAATGTTTTCGGGAGTTTTAAGAAACAGACGCTTGGTGTTGTACATGTGAGAGCCGGCTTGAAATGATTCGATTTTTAACTGTCCCCCTCTCACAACGTGATTGTGATATGTGGTGAAGAGTTTGAACTTGTTTAAGCTGCTTCACAACATTTTCATGGTCACCATTTCTTGTTTTCAGTGGTGAAAATGTTGAGGCTACTCGACAAAATAAATTCTCGACTCAGGTGCTTCTCTGCACATATTTAACCACCAGGTTTTGGTTCGTCGAAGGATGGTTAAGTTTAACCCAGGATATATCGATTAGACTTAATTTGACGCAAAGTTTTCTTGTGTACGAGCATGCAACTGGAGCTTACAACATACTGATGAGCCTTTACTCCCAGTTAGATACAGCAATACTTTGGAAGGTAAAATACAAAAACGTGCCACTGAAAATTTTAATCCTGGATTAACACTAATCGGCCTTTCAGGAGCAGACCCAGGGAGACAAGCGTAGGCACGCAGGGGACACTGGGATCAAGAATAAATACACCATGCGCATGCGCAGTGTAACAAATTGCCTTTGGGTATGATAAATATATTATGTAAACAACAAAGAAATACCAGGTCGGCTTTCGCGCGAAAACATGAAAACCTCACATATGAAAATGACATGTTATCCCTCCGCTTGAAAAGATGTTAGCGTAAGTCAAATTGTTAGTTCTCCAGTCGTTCTCCCGTAGTTAGTTTTGCTACGGGAGAACGTCTGGAGAACTAACAATTTGACTTACGCTAACATCTTTTCAAGTGGGGGGGATAACATGTCATTTTCATATGTGAGGATTTCATGTTTTCGCGCGAAAGCTCACCTGGTATTAGTCGTAGTTAGTTAGTTTTGCTAACTACGACTAACAATAGACGATTGTTTAACTATGACAATAGACGGATCGAAACGCACCAATTACTGATTACGAGTCTTCATAGCCAATAACATCACTGCTTAACTGACAGACGACCAATAACATCGCGACGTAATTGACCAATCAGATCAATGACCAGAATATAACACAATCAACTGACGTGAAACAATTCACTTTGACTCTGAAGATGACTACCGCACAGGTTGTCGAAACGTCAGTCACTGTCACCAACAACAGTCCTGTTCAGGACTACGTTCACCCGGACGATCAAACTCAACCTACTTTTGAAATGACTCCTGGGTTCAAAACTTTCACAGCATTACAAATTATGTTAGCATAAATTGTGACATTCCCTCGTCTCACGGATTAAGAATTGAAAAATAAGAAATATCAAAGGTTGCCCTGATATGATATATGAGATATGATATGATATATGTTAGGATATGATATGATATGCTCACTACTTTGCTTTATGGATCGATATATGGAAAGAGAGGGTGGACTATCGTCTAGTTCTTGCAACCTGATATATTTCGTCCTTCTGGGTAAAATCCCCTTTCCAATCTTTCGTTTTCTGTTCCTGTTTCGCTTCCTCTTCCTATTGTGGATGGCTGGTTTTAGGACGCTCAAGCTTGAAGGAATTAAAATGGATTTTTTACAAACTACGATTTGTGAAGTTTCAGGAAACGTATCGTGGACAGGTAAAGATGACTTAGAACCTGGCTCAGTGGAACTTCATCATTTGTATCCGTGGAAGAACGAATTCAAGTTTCGCGTCAGCAAAGCAGGATATATTGAAGTAAGTAGTAAGCTTACAACCTCATTTATTTACTATGCTGACCAACACGTTTAAATTCTTTTCTGTAAGCTTAAGTTATTTATCGCTTATTAAATTATGAACAATCAGTGCTCAAACGTAAATTGGGCTCGGAGTTGATAACCGCTTAGATAAACTTCGGTAAATGTCTTATTTTGAAAATACATTTCATAGCGGCTTACGTGACGACAAAAAAGTTCAGAGACGATTCTACATAAAGTCCATGTTGAGATTAGTAAACTTCCTCAAAGTTATTATGAGTAACAACGAACTGCAATGATTGTCATGTTAGAAGCGCAAAAAGGGGTTTTGATAATTTTTTTTTTAATCGCCTACACCGTGAGGTTTCTACGCAGGACATCTTGGTTAGGTTTCGGAGGTTTACATTGATGACAAGCTGAGTGGCAATAGAGAAGAGTATTCTTAATTCTACCGGAAAATAAATGTCCTCTAGTCTGTACACAATCTAATAACTACCCTGATCGAGTTGTAACAAGTTTTAAATACTTTCGGTATCAAAAAATCTGCAAGCACAAACAGATGCTGACAAAATGAATGAATCAATCAATACACTCAGTTTAGGGACGGACGATTAGAAAACTTCATGAGGGAGGAGGGGGTGGGGGCAAAGTAAAAAAAAAAGGGGGCAAGGGAAAATTAAATGAAACGAACGTCATGCACGTTAAAGGGGTTGTGCCATGGCAGTCCAGTTCATTTTGATTA